GGTTCAATTTTAGAACTAATAAAGATATGCTTCCCTGCACTTTGAGGAGTCAAATAGCATGATATAGCTTAGAGATATTCCCTAAACATATGACAAGAGTAGAGTGATCGCAAACATGGCAGATTTGTTTTGTTTTCTCTAGAAAATGATCCCACAAGTAGTGACAAAATAAAGCTTCAGAAATCTATTAATCAAACATGATAGCTGTACAATTTAAAATGGAAGAGCTTTCTAGATTGTATATACTTGTAATTTGTCAACTTTAATTTTATAATTCATTTACTATTTCCAGAGCAGAAAAAAAWAWATAAAATATATATATGCTGCAGTATTATAACATAAAATTCAGTTTTATTTCTACAATATTTGATTAATAAAATAATGTACATTGAAAAAAGAACACTGTATGSTAGCTTTCCATATATCTGCCTTTGGTGGATAACTAGTCAACCACTAGTGAACCATTGAATACATAGCTCCATGTTGGAGAGAGCCTGGCATACTGCCATTTGGCAACTGATTCACTTGTATTTCAGTAAATGGAATTGATTGATCTTCATTGGCACTTGAACCTAGAGAAAACAACAATGGTTGATCAATACATTGGAATGAAAAGTAACCTTGAAAACAAATTTTCAGTTTAGGGCTGTCCAGGAAGTACCACAAACCCTGACACTTTCTCACTCAGCAGGACAAAATGTCAAGTTTTATTTTTTTTTGCAATGCCCTTCTTGTCAAGTAACTTACTATTTTCTGATATTTGTTCAGTCTGCACTAATGTTTTGTCATCCCTGTCCTTAACACTGGGTCTTTGTGCAATTCTGGGGCATAATTCACCTAGTGTTGGTTTGATTCCAAACCGACCTAAAATAACAATTGAAAAATAAAATATTATAAATGCATCACCTCGACCTATTCACTGTTCACTGCCTTAGGTTCCCATCACAACTCCAGAACGAAATTTCTCTAATATAACAGTAAAAATTTGCTGATTCTCCTAAGGATGGCAGTCTATAGTTTATATTCTCCTGCTGTCTCAAATTGGGATTCTTGATGACATTTGCAAAGATATAATAAGTGGTGTTATTTTCCATATAAAAGAGTTCTTACATGGGTCTTCTGTTCTTTCTTGCCGTCTACGTTCCACATGGTTGTTGATAATTTCCTGTGCCTATAATATCCAAAAACCAACAAYATACATAATTAAACAGGAAAAAAAAGTTTATCATAAATAAATAAACATAATGAATTACAATTCTGTTGGYCAGATTATAAAACTGCTCTATTTTTCTTACTTTATTTTATTCATTTTTTTTACCTTTTGTTGGCATAGTATCCTATCTGGATCTGTAAATAACTCTGTATTGGAGATGTTATTTTTGATGGCCTGAAATAAATGAATGCCCAGTTCATAATGATGATATTTACAATAATCATTACTGCGAATCACTGAATGGTCATGGAACCTCGCMTGGTAGGTACCTGCCTGGTCATGATGCCAAATGAAAATACTGATTCAAGAATACATCAYTTTCAGGTTTCAGTGCAAGYKTCATGTTTCTTTTGCATTTTTTGAATATACAAAATCCACAGMACTAGCTTACCATTGAAGCTGTGGACCTAGCATGAGCRGGTAACTGTGATTGGTAYGTYTTRTCTGTAAAGTCAAGTTCATCATCTTCCATGTTTGTACTTTTGATTCTACAAAACAACATGAGGTATCAACAACACTGAAACCAATTATTGTATGAAGGGTAGAGTGCAAGTCACATAAGCATAAAACAATTCTTAACTATGTAGTGCTAAATAAGATTTAGTTATCAACTAACTAAGAATTGAGAACAATACTACAAAGAAATTTAAATAATTGGCATTGTGTTTATGCTTTGTTGAATTCTTAGTTAGTTGATAACTAAATCTTATTTAGCAATACATATTAAGAATTGTTTCATGCTTATGTGACGTGCACTCTAATAGCATTTCCATAATATACCAGACAGATGGAATCTATGGATTACTTCATCCTCTCTTCATTGATACAAAATAATTAGAACAAATTGTGAGTTATGTGAACAGCTGAAGGATGGTGGATTTTGAATCAACCCTTAAAAGTATATCTTAAGTTGCAGAAACGTTTATTAAGCATGCTTAACATTACATCGCACTACAGATTCTATACCAGCCAATAAGCTGACAATGTCATAACTTACTGTCTGTTGGTAAGTAAAGAGTAAACTTTTTCTATCAGTGTTGCTGYTGCCCTTGGTTTACAGTGGATCGTACCATCAACTACTTCTTTTGGTATRTCAAAACCTTGATTTATGAAAAACTGGAAAAAAGATGCCATGGTTTAAAAAACAAGAATAATAAAACTTTCGACTGTGGAAGAATGAAGAGCATCAAAAGAAGCAACCTACTCTTTGAAGCTGTGACCAGTTACCAAGTTTAGTCTTTAACGATGTGCCATTGTCGTACGAATGCATTGTAACCTCTTGGGGAAAATACCAGGAAAATATCTCGGCCACGAGATAGCCATTTGAAAAGTCTCTGTGAAATACAAAAAGCCAGCAAAATTCAGTCAATAAGCATGGTTAAGCTTATTGTTTTCTCGAGAACTCACATTTCCATCAAAATTATCACAGAATTTACCTTCTTGTATTTCTAACTGGATGTGTGAGGTCTAAGCTTTGGATCCACTTTAAAATCTCTCTCGGAAGGCCGCTCATTTTAGTGGAAAATGTTGAATTTAGTAGACAACTCGATCGAAAATGTAAAATGCTCAGATGTTGGAGTCTTTACAGTTGCTACAGCAACTGGGACATAGAACCGCGGGCTCAGATAGTTCGTTCTCATTCTTCCCGGTTCAACATAGATGAGAGGGAATAACAACTATAATAACAAAACAGCACGTACGTGGACTCTTTTAATCCAATATTTGTTTTAAATACTTTATTGTTATTGCGTTATTGTGACATTTCTATTTCTAAAAAGTCCAATATTCCATGTGAAATTATATTTATAAAATGAAAGGAATATTAYATGTAATATAAGGACCACCTATAGATAAATCAAAAACACTTTTAAAAACTTTGTTATAAATTAAAAACTTTTTTATGTCAGTAATTTAGTATCACGTTCACRTTTAGTGCCACGTTCACTGTAACACTTTTAGAAGAACAATTACATGAGCTGTGAATATTAAAACAGATGCTTTTTTCAGATTTATTAGAAATGATTATATTCCCTGCTACTTCAGGTACTGCAAGTCATAGTTAATAGACATTTAAAAGGTCTTTCAGGTACTAATTTGAGTAACCATATTGAATTGTATCAAATACCCTTTACTCAAGTTATCAAATTAATAAAGCGGAACAACCGAATTAAGAAACATCTTCAACTTTTTGTTTTGAACAAATGAGTTTGCAAGGAGTTTATAATGACCAGTCAAACGCTAAAGACGCCAGTTATACAATACCCTTATCTACTACCCGCAGTCCTAATGCGTGTTTACGAGTGTCTTTTAAAAGAAGTGCCTTTTAAAAAGAACCGGCATAATGCACGCTATCAACAAAAGAATGGCGGCGTAATTCTCCTTTCAATGTCAGAAATATTTAAAATAATTTATGAAAAACAATTTATTATTTTCTTGGCAGTTCTTCTAGTTCCGTGGTGAGTTTTGTTAGTAACTGACGTTAAGTTTAAGACGAGTGACGAATGACTTTTTTGGTGACAAACAAAAGATATGTAAATGAGCAGCGAGCATATATAGCCGTATTAACACGTGGTCGTGTTGAACAAAACACATGTTATCATAAGATTCGCTTTTGTCACTTTTTCATTATGTAACATCCTTTATTTCTTAGTTGTAAGCCTTTAAACCTACTAAAAGAAAAAAGTGATGAAAATCAAGTCTTCCTTAAATATGAAAAAACATAATAAAAATGCGAATGAGTCATGGTAACCCGACCAGCGTGTAGGACCAGCCGACACTGTTGTCGATCACAAGCCAAGAAAAGCCCTTCGTCAGCAAGTGGATTTTGAATTTTGTTGATGCAATTATTAGTGGCTTGTACTGTCGTAAACCAGCAGGTTTACCCGCTCAAAAATCAATGATGGCTATAGCGACGGACTCAATGAAGACAACTAGCAACCAATCAGAATAAAGGACAATCAACCTGTCAACCAATCGCATTGTTCTTTTTAGTCAATAACTGGTGGACTGTAACATGCATTGGTAAATTTTGTATCAAGAATAAATTTCTTGACAATATTGCGTTCAAAAGGAATTCTTTGCAGGACATGTTGACAAATACACGTTTCGCAGCTTACTTGTTCACGGTCCGTGTTGGATAAGTCTCTAGCTCTTGCTAGGCAAATACAGTTTTTCGTATTTGATTTCTTCAATTGTTAAAAACAATTTTTCAAAAACTTAGGAGATATTTAAAGTACAACAAAAGGCAGAGCATTGACGTGGACTTTAAAAGGACAACAACTTAAGATCAACAAAGACCTTAACAGTTCTTGAACTACCAAGCTGAAAACAGAATCCAAAATCTAAAATGGTTAACGATAAGATCACAGTTGAAATCAGTTCATCGTCGCCACTTGCGACTGTTATATCTCTGTTTTGCGTAATGACAATTGGGATCAACTTGGTCGTGTGTTATCAAATCTACCGTCGCCGTAGTCTCCGTTCTTCATGCACAGCGCTGATTGTTGCTAACCTTGCTGTAGTCGATATGCTTGTATCTATTAAAGATCTGCCCATGTTATTTGCTGTTAGCATGTCAGGGCGTTGGTATTTTGAGGAACACTGGTGTCGGTCGTATGGATTGACCAACGTGATTTACATCATTGTATCTATCTCCACACTAGTAACTATCACCACGGAGCAGTATTTAAGAATTACCGAAAGACCAAAAGATGCTTCGCAGAATACGCAAAACAACCGCACAAACAGATCAGTACTCCTTGGCTACATAATCGCCCACACGACTCTCTCCTACTCTTTGTCTTTACTGTGGAGCAAGTACGTGTTCATCAGTCGAAAAGCCTTTTGCCAAGTGGATTGGCCACCGTCTGGATTGAGCTTCACCATCGTTGCTTCTTGTGTGTTTCTTGTTCCTGTTTCACTACTGGTCTACAATCTTTTTAATTCTGATGATGAAAACCAAAACTCTGAGAAACAAATCAAATTGACCGCAGAGGAAAAAGAGCGGGAGAAACTTGACACTGATTCCCAGACAAGACTGCAACTTGCTATTGGATTGTTTCTGTTGACATGGTGCCCATACGTGATCGAAAGTTTCTTCTCGGTTAGTGATGATGTCGTTCCTAACGTTATTGGTCTGGTTTGTGCTTTCATACCAATCTGCACAACAACGTTGATACCACTGTGGTATCTCAAGTGGAAGAGACAGGCTGAGGAAAGGGCAGCTCGCTCGCAAATATTTATCCTACAGTGTTGAAAATTGTATCGTAATTTTGATTTAAATGATTTATTATATAAAAGCAACGAGAAAATGAAATTTAAGATATCTCTGCTACTGTGAAACCAATGTTATCAACTGACTTAAATAATTATAAACAATATATATGGATGCCTCTTGAACAAGTGAAAACAAGTGACATCACATAAAAACAAAACTGAAAAAAAAATACAAGATGAGATATATGAATAAATTAACAGCTTGAGCAGAGCAGAAGTTATATATAAGATATACTGACATTAAGAATATATGAGCTTTGCAAGTAGATATTGATAATAATATAATTTGTTTTATCGTTTTATACTATATAAAGAAATTTTAATATAATTATTTGTTAAATATATTATTCAGTTGAGGTGAATTAAATGACTATGATATATTGTCTATGTAGAGATTTTTAATGATATATACTTAGAATAAAAATTAACGCAAATATCCGACGTTTCAGAATCATCCTGACTCCATTTTCAAGGACTAAACTTTAATTAAGTAAATGCAAATATAAGAGAAAAGAAAACAATGGCATAATCAAAGAAAGACTTTAGCACAAATCGAATCCGACTGTTATATATACTGAATATATACTTCGTCGAAAAAATGAATATATTATATGACGAAACATAGATGTCTTCTATAAGGCGGTTGCTTGGTAACTTAGTGAGTTTATTTTTGAGGTGACCCTTAGCTCTACAGCTAAATATGACTTTCCACTTTAGAAATTTTGCTATTTTCGAAGTTTTAAGAAAAAAGTTATGAAACGCTGAATTTCACATGGAGCAAAGATTGCTTCCAAAGTCCATAGTTAGTGCTACTATGCATAGTCCAAACAAAATTTTATCATTAATGCTGCGCTCAGCAGATCCGAAATGTTTCAAGTGCTTTATAGATCGACGATGGAAGTTTTACTTGATTGAAAATCTAGAAAATAGATATAAATAAATAAAATAAAGCAACATCAACAACAACCAGAAAACAGCAACAACAACAAAACAAACAAAAGTCAMGCAAAAGACAAAAAATGGATCATACTAAAATGAGTCTTGTGAACCATTGCCATTGAAAAAAAAAACAAAAACAAAAAATACAGGTGAAAAAAACATACACAATTCTGAATAAAGCACTGCTGTGTAACATAACATAAGCAAAAAATATTAAAACAAGCTGAAGGGAAGATAGTTCGGAAAGTCAAGTCACGTTTAAAACAGCCTTTGATCTCTCCTGAGGCGTCTGGGGCTTTAATAGATATTGGGATAAAGCCTTAGTCATGCTAAAAGGAAATACGTAAGTCGATATTCTTTTCCAATCCTACACAGTAGGTCACTAAGACTTTAACGTCAGTCACGAATAAATTCGTGTGTCCCGTGTCGTGATTGTGCCAAATCGTGATATGTGTTCAGCATTGTCGGTCTACCTGTGGTGTCCCATAAGGCTTTGYTGTTCAATGTAGTAAATATCCCCTCACTTCCGATGGCTGAGTGACTGGAAATACATCGTCTTCTAGACAGGATTTATGATCTGAATGGCGAACTTTGACGCCATTTTTGATGAAAACATCGAGTCCGAAGCAGATTCTCGTATTTCAGACGATTATGTGCCGATTCAGAAGGATCCTGTGGTTGTACGTGGAGTTGGACACATGACTATGTAAGTTTTGTTTACAGCTGAATGATGTTGTTTCAAGTCACGTTTATTCATTCTACCTTTAAGGGTGCTATCTTTTTAATTCTACAATATTCAACTTTCGTTTTATTCATTATTTTCTCTCTTTTTTGAAGATTTGGTTTAAATAGCAAGTTTGATTCAAGTTTTCCTCAGGGACTTTCCGCGAAGGTAATCATTTCTTCTTCGTACTCAAACACACTCACTGTGCATGCAGGATAATAGGACAATACTTCGAAAAGAYTTCACAGTTTAATCCCACGAAATCCTTCAAAAATTATTGTTTTAAATAGAAAATCAAACAGACACATGTCAGCAGTCATTTCGAAGTAAAGAGGTTAATTTTCAAATCAGTTTTCGAAGAGGAGATAGAATAGTTGTAACTTGTCGAAAGAGAAACTGTAAACTATGTTTATTGAATTAGGATGTCCATCTTGAGGAACCATTCAATGACTTGTTTGAGTTTCGAATCGACAGCAGTAAATATTGCAATTGTATTGTGATCTTGTGCAGGAAAAGATGAAAAGAACATCTGATCATAATCGAACTCACCATCAGATCAAATGGCTTTCGAATAATTTGCTTGCGGTTTCATCAAACCACAATGACTCTGTATCACATTTTTTTTAGAACTATTGTTGGTATACGTCACGTCTTTTAGTTACTCTTATTAAGAAATCTTTGATAAATGTAAAACCTTCAAACTCTTTGAAACATTTGATCGGTAATTATTCGCATATCGAAAGGAATACAAGATTCATATCAAATTGTTCAKCTGATAAAATCAATGCAATTCATGCCCCATAAACTGAACTATTCAAGTTAGTGTCTTAAATATTTGTCAATGTCTACATTCTGTGAACACATTAGTATTGATACTTCGGGCTTGAATCTGACTTCAATTCTAAAGTTTACTAAGTGATAGGAAACCAWTATACTACCACAAATTCTAGATAAATGTGTATATTGAACTTTAAGACTGAGCCATCAAATGACTTCCATATAGCAATAATGTTTATATATACAGGTTTATATACATTTAGYGGGAATAGAATTAGTGGTAAGGTATTTAGTAATGTTCTGAGAGATTTTAGTGAATGGTAGTATGAAATAGTGAATGAAACAACAGAAAGAGGACAAAAGAGGGCTAGGGTTAGAAGAGATTAGAGAGTATTAAAATATCAAGTAGACATAAAGTGTGTTGTTTATGTATTTTTACATTCAGTCACTCTATCATTCTGTCAAATATTCAATAATTCAGCCGTTTAATCATTCAGTGAATCAATCAATCAAGCAAGCAATATTTCAGGCAGTTAATAAATCAGTCATTCAGCCATTTAATCAATCTTTCAAACAAATAATCAGTCAGCCAGTTAATAAATCAGTCATTGAATCAATATGTCAATCAATTATTCAATCATTCAGTCAGTTAAATAATCAATCATTCAGCAAATCAATCAATCAAGCAAGCAAGAATTCAGCCAGTTAATAAATCAGTCAATAAGTCATTTAATCAATCTTTCAAACAATTAATCAATCAATCAGCCAGTTAATAAATCAGTCATTTAATCAATCTGTTAATCAATTATTTTTAAATAAAAAAATAAAAAAAAAATCATTCACTCAGTTAATAATAATCAATCATTCAGCAAATCAAGCAAGCAAGCAAGAATTCAGCCAGTTGATAAATCAGTCATTGAGTCATTTAATCAATCTGTCAATCAATTAATCAAGCATCCAGTCAGTTAGTTAATCAATCATTCATCTAAAAATAATCAATCATGCTGATTAATATTATTATTTATCAATCATATTGTATCATTAAGTGAAGAAATCATTTTATACAGGTGGCACCAGAAGAGTTCAAAGAAACAATTACAAGAGTAAACAGAGTACTAAGTAAAACAATGCCAATCAATGTACGTTGGCTATTGTGTGGGTGTATATGCTGTTGTTGTACGTTAGGGATATCAATGTGGCCTGTTGTTTGTTTAAATAAAAGAGTAAGTATTGAAAATTGTCAGTTACAGCGTCAAAACTCAATTCTTGCTGCAATTTAATTTTCTACAGATGTCAAATCTATATGCTTATTTATATTCAAGAAAAGTTTTCATTTAAACATTTATAGCTATTCGCTTATGATCTTAGAAACACATTTTTTTTGGCCTAGAAATACTATAGTTGCACTAAGTACTATTGAAAGCTCAGCAATGAACAGGAATAAGAACAGAAGACTGAATTATGTTTGATATTTGCTATATGCATTATAGATAACATTGAATAACATAATTAACAACTGGTGGGGAGTGGCCCCTTAAGTTGAAATGCCTCAGCTAAAGATAATGAGAATTCTTTATTTATTTCAACATCTTTTAACCTTTTAATGCACATTTTCCTTCTTGTTATCTTGTATTTTTACTTGCAAGGATCATAGKTTGTATGATTTTAATCACATTTTCTAAAAGTCTTAGACTTGTGTACTATCAATCATCTTGACAAGTCTTGGATTTCAAAATTTAATTTTTCTTAGATGTAGTTATATGCATAGATAGATTATAATTATATTGGATTAGGCAATGGATATCATTTTACATCATTTTTTCAAGGGTTTTTTCTTTTTCAAAAGTTCTGCTAATTTTCCAATATACTATAAATGTTGTTTATTAATTTATACTAACTAATGTAATTACCACCTTTATTTTATACAGACAAGACATTCATTAAATAAAATATTAGATGCYGAAAACTGTCATTTATATCACAAGGTAAACCAAAATTCTACTTTTTCTTCTATAAACTAAGATAATTCAAGTACTGATTTGAACAAATTTCATTTTTTTTTTAGCTTGGGCTTCACTGGCGCCTTACCAAACAAAAGTGCAACAATAGCAATATGAAAGAATATGTAAGTAATTATTATGATGATATAAACATCATTATTTTTAGTAACAACAGTCTGTTACAACCATAATTTTTATGCACCATCAACAATATCAAAGTTTTACTCATTGAATGTCTGGCAGATGATTTATTTAAGGTTGTTTGTTATTCCTGGCCTTAAATAAATCATTTACCAGGTTTCCCTGACTAATCAATAATCTTGGTGTGCACATTATATCATCAACATCATGAATAGATGCAAACAAACATCAAGCAAATATGTTTTACAATTATAACAAAAAAGKTTTTGGTTGCTGGTTTTCAAGGGTCAATATTTTATCATGCAATACAGTCAGTGGTTATTAATATAAAGGTGAAAATCAATTGTTCTTAAACTATCAACCCAAAACCCAACACTTCATCATTTCAATTCTCCAAAGTTTTTGCAGTGGTCATGTTGGATAATAACATTTTTACATTTTTYAGATGTTATAACTGCACACYGAGAATGTCCTAAGCAGGTCACATTAGTTTCACAGATAATAAATTAGCCCCATTCAAATTATCCCATTTTTACTGATGTATTATTTTATTAGGTTTTATTA